TTCAATGAATATTTTAAGACTACACATTTGTGTGAATTCAGAGCTGCAGTTGGGAGACATGAATGCTTCTTAAGGACACTTTGAATGACCTTAGGCGACTTCGCAGCTTTCCTTTTTGTAAATCTCTCATAAGTGGAACAGCAACCCCACCAATCCTCTGTGATTATTGCTTAAATATTTCAAAGAACAAGGATTGTGCTGGAAACTTTTTGCAGTTGCTTTGAGTCTTCTAGACAGACTGCTGTGAAAGTAGACAAATCCAAAGTGTAATTGAAAGACCTTTGGAGAATATTTAAAAAAAAAAAAAAAAAAAAAAAAAAAAAATATATATATATATATATATATATATATATATATATATATATATATATATATATATATATATATATATATATATATATATATATATATAAATATTTCTTCTTAACTATTGACCTTATTCTAAAATGCGGAAGTGCGCCTGTTTTCGAGATTGTCTTAGAACTTCCGATTCAGTCGCCTATGGGAGAAATGACTAGGAATAATAAACGGCAAAAAACGGTCAAACTACTTGCTCTACAAACAAATGTTTGCATGACTATACGGACAAAATATAATAATATAATAAGAAAATATCAGTTTGCAGCATCAAGCAGCAGAACATCCTGTTTTTAATATCTAAAAATGAATGGAAGTGAGTGAGACAGGAAGTCTCGTGCAAAAAAGATTCAAATGGCTGCGCCCAATCGTCGGCGGAGAATAAGGTGAATACTATTAGCTTTAATGCATTGCATATTTTAATAAAATACACTGCTAAAATATCTTTTTAGTGTTACTTTACCCTAAAATTAAAACTGCCTTCCTGTTAGTCACCTTCTTGTTGTTCTAATTAATAAGGATACACTAACAGAATGAACAATGTACTTTCTTTTTTGTGTTTGAAAGCTTTCACATAAGACAACTGCATAGTTAAAATAAACCTTTTTACATGGATGCTTTTAAAGCTACTAATATCACCGTAATAGTTCAAAAGTAATAAAAATATTACTGTAGCCAATTATTAAAACATTTTAGGAGCACAACCAGATAATTTAGGGGCACAACTTATTACATCTGTTGTACAGTTATTCACTTTCCCCCCTTAATAATGGTATTATTGAAATTTACAATATTTTACCATTAGCTTAATAATTCCTTACAATTAAATAGCGCTGGACACTCAAAATGCTTGACACATTGGGGGAATCTTCTCATCCACCAGCAGTGTGCAGTTCCAATTGCATGGCACAAAGGCAGCCATATTGTGCCAGACCACACACAAGCTGATTGGTGGAGAGGAGACAAAGTGATGAAGCCAATTATGATATGGGGATGGTTAGGAGGCAAATTGGGCCAGGTTACTGGGGTTAAACTCTTACTTTTTTTCGAAGGACATCCTGGGATTTTCCTGGGAGACCTGGGGGTCAGGAACTTGGTTTAACGTCTCATCTGAAAGACAGCACTCACTAAGCTGTAAAGACCTTTTTCTTAGAACGTAAAATTACTGATTATGCTTTGCTTGTATGCGCAAGGAGAATGCTAAGAACTTCCGGTCGGCAGCTGATGCGTATTTGGACAGCTTTGAAATTATAGTTTTAATCTATTTTACCTGCTTTTATCATCTTTGAATTTAACTTTAATATTGTTGTCGATCAGTGCCACCTCCTGAAATGAACATTTAAAAAATACGATCTAATAGGATGCAAAACAACTGCTGTGTGAGGCATTTTCCCCTCGCTGTCAGACGGCATCTTCTGTTGTTTAAATGAAGCCTCGTAATCGCTAAAGTCAACATTTTCTCTTTCTTTCAAATATATAACCAACCCAAACAATTGTAGTTCAACAAAATGTTTGACACACACACACAAAGCCTGTACTGTCCCACTTACACATTACTTGATTAAGTGTCACAAAGTGAAAATAAAGTGACGTTTTGAAATGACAGAAAAAAACAAACCGTGGTAAATACAGCACACATAAACAGCTTGCGATCTGAATCTACATGCAAATCGGCCAGCAGAGAATCAATAACAGACTTTTATTGGTCATTTTTGTAAATTGCATGACTTACATACCTTTTAAGTTTCATGCCAGAAATCTGGTTTGCTCTGTAATGCAGTGAAGTATTGCGCGTGTGTGTGTATCGTAGAGCCACTGAGCTAACAGCTGACAGTCCGGTAAAACACACACACACACACTGTATTTCTGACGGTAGACACGTGAAGTAGGAGAACGTTTTTCTCTCATGCTTAAACCACATCTGACAGATTGTAACAGCTTTAACACACATATTTTAAAGTTGTTTGTGACAAAAAAACTTCTTAATTCATTAAAAACGCTATTGAAACCCATTTTTGGAGTGCAAGTTACCAGTTGTAAATGGAAGTTGTAAACATTCTACCAGTTACATTTGGACAGCTTTGAAATTATAGTTTTAATCTATTTTACCTGCTTTTATCATCTTTGAATTTAACTTTAATATTGTTGTCGATCAGTGCCACCTCCTGAAATGAACATTTAAAAAATACGATCTAATAGGATGCAAAACAACTGCTGTGTGAGGCATTTTCCCCTCGCTGTCAGACGGCATCTTCTGTTGTTTAAATGAAGCCTCGTAATCGCTAAAGTCAACATTTTCTCTTTCTTTCAAATATATAACCAACCCAAACAATTGTAGTTCAACAAAATGTTTGACACACACACACAAAGCCTGTACTGTCCCACTTACACATTACTTGATTAAGTGTCACAAAGTGAAAATAAAGTGACGTTTTGAAATGACAGAAAAAAACAAACCGTGGTAAATACAGCACACATAAACAGCTTGCGATCTGAATCTACATGCAAATCGGCCAGCAGAGAATCAATAACAGACTTTTATTGGTCATTTTTGTAAATTGCATGACTTACATACCTTTTAAGTTTCATGCCAGAAATCTGGTTTGCTCTGTAATGCAGTGAAGTATTGCGTGTGTGTGTATCGTAGAGCCACTGAGCTAACAGCTGACAGTCCGGTAAAACACACACACACACACTGTATTTCTGACGGTAGACACGTGAAGTAGGAGAACGTTTTTCTCTCATGCTTAAACCACATCTGACAGATTGTAACAGCTTTAACACACATATTTTAAAGTTGTTTGTGACAAAAAAACTTCTTAATTCATTAAAAACGCTATTGAAACCCATTTTTGGAGTGCAAGTTACCAGTTGTAAATGGAAGTTGTAAACATTCTACCAGTTATGATTGGTTGCTATGGCGCCCTCCATGCAGCAGCCAAGAAAAAGGTCCAGTGAGTTCCCTTCACTTTACTGGGGCATTAGGAACCACACAGACTGCAGGTTGAGCAACCCCTGCTGGCCTCACTAACACTACTTTTGGCAGCAACCTAGCTTTCCCATGTGATCTCCTATCCATGTACTGATCGGGGCGCAGCCCTGCTTAGCTTCAGTGGGCTACCATGTGAGAGTTGCAGAGAGCTAGCTGCCTGCTGCGTAGCTTACAAGGGCTCCAGAGCTCCAGACTAACGTTTGAGAGCAGAGACACTAATGCTGTCATGTTTCTGATTTGGTTGAGCTGCACATGAAATGTTAATGCTACTTCCACATTTGACAGTGGCCTCAGAGTTGCTGATGCAATTTTAATTTCATTAACAAAAACAGTTCCGTCTGTAAAAATGGATGCAGCCTAATCTTTTTTTATAAATTTTTATGGACCATAATTACCAAAGGTATAGCAACGTGATAATTATGGTAAAAAGTAGCCTGATTTGTTTGTTTGTCACTAAAAACATTTAATGTAAATACTAAAAGATTATTGTAACTGGTGGAGTGGGGCAGAGAGCGGTGGGAGCTGTGATAATGAGCGTCACCTGTTCTCCACACCAGTCTTCAGTCGGAGGAGTTAAGAAAAATTCTGTGAGCTGGAATTCGAAATCAGGACGCTCAATTGCATTACATATCGGTGCATTAGCCTAAAGGTCATTTTCACTGACTGCATGTTTGTTTTCTGTTTATTTTATTATTAAAGTATTTATTTCGCTAGCGCACCTTGTTATTGGTGAACAATAAAATTGTCCAAGTTAATCCACAAAAAATATTTATTTTGGTAATCTTCAATCGAAGTCTGACTATTTGCTTTCTTGTTTTGAGTGGTGGTCCTTCTCTCTGTTGTTGTCAGGTTGATGACATCGGCAACAATATTTTTAACCACATTCAATGTTTGCTGTGAGGGAATTTTGATGCAAAAAAGAAAGCCCCGCCCCCTACTCAATATTCAATTTCAGTTGTACATCAACATACTGAAATAAAAGTCTGAGCGACCAGTTTATGCAGACTTTAAACTGATTTAAGTGTTTGCCAGTTCCTGCCTCCTTCACTTCAAGTGTGAGCTTGTTTTCAAACTTGATTACAATAACAGTTACATTATATTATTATATTTAATACTTTATTAATATGATAACTATTAATTATACTACATTAAACAATTTATTATAATTATACTACAATAAAATAAACCAGTGATAAGTGATGATGTGTTTTACTGAAACACCTTCTAATTTGATTGTTGATTACATTGTGTTTACTGCTTCCTGTATCATTGTTGTTGATGTTATTATATTGGTTCTTGCAGAAGCTTAGTATGCAGCAATGGTCCACGGACCAAATTTGAAATCTCTGAATACTGTTTACTGATCTTTTGATTTTTATGAAACTTCTTATAATATGTGATTGTATCTTTTCAGAGGACTTAAATTAAACCACTGTATTCAATTGTTTTTTATGTTCTAAATAGACTTTCAGTGGAGGGACAGATGTCTATCAGATTTGATTAAACATATATTATATTATATGGTTTTAGAATAATGATGAAAACCATTTACTGTAAATGGTTTCTGTTAAAGTACTTGTATATTCATCATAGAATGATTTCTTGAATCATATTGATCCCAATCATCATCACATTTCATTTCTCTCTGCAGCATGTGAGCTCAAACAGAGCTGGCCAGTGGATGCTCATATAACACTTGATGACATGAACTGGGATTATGGTTAGTACTCTATAGTCAAGAGTTTAAACTGGTTACTTTTGTACCTGGGTTATAAATATAGAGCATCTTTTCTATTTTAGAAACGGAATGTTACTCGTACACCTGCCGATGTGGAGGAGAATTCATCTTAGAAAAAGACGAAACCCAAGAAGTGGAAACCGTTGTGTGCTGTGACTCCTGTTCGCTCAGCATTGAAGTAAAGAAGGGTACCTGACACTTTGGATGCTTTCGATTAGTTTCTTAATGGACTGAGATTTAACTCTTCTAAAAATGGGGCAAATTCAATAGACTCATGATTGATTTGAACAAAGCCTCATATCTGAGTTTGTCACCTTTCAGATATTATTTATTTTGTTTTTATTGTCCACCGAAATAGTTTGCATGATAGCAGGAACTGTCTATTTTCATCGGGAGGTTTCAATTTTCACAGATTAAATATTTTAACATCAACATTTATTTCCTAGTATTAATATTTAAGTATTTTGTACAGATCAAAACCATTTCTTGTAGAAGAAAACAGCATATTTCATTTCGTTCACATGTACCTTACAGCAAGTGCATCACCAAATAACCAGAATTGGGTCACGCTAGACTCTCACTGTCTCAGAAAGCCCTTTGGTTGTTTCCTCTGAGCTAGACGTGCTCTTTTACGGACCAGACGTTTATGAAAAGAAGAAAAAAAAAACATGCTGTTCGTTCTCCAGCCCCCTCCTTTCACCCCCCGCCTCCTTGTGTTTGTGAGGACCAGGCGGCTCAGTAACCTCTTAGCTCTTGTTAACTTTGTTTGCATGTAAATAAATGCAGTTTTTTCCCTCCTCCAACAATGAAGTCACAAACTGCCTCCACACATCACTGGTCGAAAAAGGCCCTCCAGTTAATGATGAGCTTTTCTTTGCCTTATTGTTCTCCAGTCCACTCAATTTTGAGGGGAACCGCAAGGTTGCAGCATTGGAATAGGGTCATGGCTTTATTAAACTTCAAACAGTCATTAGGCTGTTTGCTAAAATCTGTCGTCCCACAGTAGAAACAGCTTGATCGGGGCAAAACCACGCTTTTCATCAATGTCCTGAGGCCTGAACCGAGGCTAGACCTGCCAGTGGACCGGCAGTGGACCGAACTGTAATCGACTGTGACATCAATTACGGATAATCTCATCACTTTTGGAGAGTGGGCTTGTCAAAGCTCTAATTAAGTCCTCGGATTCCCCTATATGTGCAGACAGGATCAACAACACATTATAGTGCTATGATAGACATCATCATCATTCTATTTTTGAGGAACTCTAACTTTTAACCTAGCGTGCACTTGTGGGTCTGGTCAGGCATTTGGGCTGCCGTGTTTGCCACTTTTGGTCACTGTGTGTTAAACCATTGCTGTAGGAATTATTACACTTCTTTGGTTTATCCCATAGTAGTTATGTCCTTTATTGAACTATTTAAGTTCCTATTGTGATTTCTGTCTTATTTCTAACTGATTTATTTCAGTATTTCATATAAACATGGATCACACAGAAATTCTTAACTTTTAAGTTTGTTTGTGGAGTTTTCATATGAATGAAAATGTATGTATTCATACAAATTACTTTTCGGACACCACAAAATTCTCATGTGATCGTGCTGGATATTTCAGAACTAGCATGCTCATTTGGTTTTAAAAATTTAGAGCTAGTTACATATTCATAATTTATGGTTTTCATATTCATGTTTCATTGTTTTCACCATTACCTTACTATGATGATAGATGCAATAGGAGTGTATTCAAGTTTTCGGTATCAAAGTGTATTTCCACTGGGAAATGACATTTTAAACTATACAAGTAGATCCTCAGCTGTTCTCACGTTGACATCTGTGTGAACAGTAACCTGAAACCTTTTTCAACCTAAGCACTATTTTCACTGATCCTGGTTCTTGTTCACAGGTAGCTTTGAAAAGAGTTTCCTTTACTACAAAGCTTGCACTCCAAGCAGCAGGAAGAGAGGAGTCTTTTCTTTGAACAAACTTTCATCACCCGTATTGCTCTCATGGTTTCTCATTTAATGCCGACGTAATCTCGGTTGAACAAAAGCGGAAACCTCTTTCCCTCTTTTTAACCCATATTTGAGCTTAAACCTTTAAAATGGCTTCCCGCTTTCCCCCTCACTCCTCAAATGTATCCAGTCAAATTCTTAAAGGGACCAGCAGGTGTTACCCTTTTGAGAAATCATGAGCCAGATGGCGAAAAATTGTTTTCTTACCAAAAAAAAAAGGATCTGCTACCCTTTCAGATATTGAGAATTCTTTTTTTTTTTTAAAGTTAATAACATTCATCTGCATTTACTTAGCAGGAATTTTAAAGGATTTTAGGATCATATTGATGTGACAACCTGACATCTACACTAACATAAACAAATATTGTTAGCTGTTTGTTCAAACTACATTTTTAAAATGAGCTGAAACAACACAATTCTCCTGTTTTTTTGCGGGGGGATAACTTTATCCACTCGATTGGTTGGGCCAAGGCACGTCTGGCCAAGCTTCTCTGACCGGGTGATGTCACGTACTGTAATTTGCGACAAACGCTGGAAGGTGATGTGAAGGTCTCCACATGTAGTAAACATGACGAAACAGACGGCAAACTGGGAAAATGTAAGTTTGCTTACTCCTGGTTGGAGAAAGACGAGTTTTAACAGTGGCTGAAGCATGTCGCTGAAAACAACCTCGTAACTTATTTCAAGCTTTGTTTCTTCCAAGCTTATCTGAGTTCTGTTGCATTTGTTGTGCTCCATTGATTTATTTATTGGAGCTATAACTGTTTATTAACAATTGTTTATTAGGTTAAATGTTTGAAACTGATTAGAACTTGAAGTGGTGATGAGGTCTTAAAATATTTTGAGAAGGTCTTTAAAAAGTCTTACAAAGTTATTGAAATTACCTTTAGGATTCCTGCATATACCCTCCATCATTCAGTATCATATATTACATGAATAATATTTATGTAAAAATGCACACATTAAAATATCTAAAAGTCTAAATTTTATTATATTTTAAATATGGGTACAATTGAGTGGTTTAAAGAATAGTGGCAAAGTATACACATCTAAAATGACAGGTAGCCTTTATTATTTAAATGTTATGTTAATAGCTTTCTTTTATAACTTGATATAGTATATGTATATAAGTATAAAGTGTAATCATACAGAAATGAACTTGTTCATATGCGCAAACAAACTGGAACAGGGTGTCCAATTTTGCTCCAGGAGGTCCACTGTCCTGCAGACTTTTGCTCTAACTAACCCTAACATGCTGAAAAAAGTTTCCATTGAGTCTTAAAACCATGATTAGCTCTTTCAGGTTTATTTAACTATGGCTAAAGCTAAATTCTGCTGGACAGTGGCCTTCCAAGAACAGGCTTGAACCTTAACTTGAGCAATCTTTTGATGCTGTTTTATTTATTTATGTGCAATATAATAAAATACATTTGCATTTAAATTTACACACTTCATCTTTAAACTTGCGCCATTTTGGCTCGATTTTTGATGGATGAGCTCTACTATATGATATTTGCAGGAGGCTGACGGCTCCATGCTTGTATTGTGTTGCCTGGTTTGTTTATGACTGAGAGTCTTTCAGAGAGCCAAAGGTTTACTGCCTATCCCATCATCCTATCCATTCAGTTGGCAATAATGCTAACAGCCCTCATGCAATGCTAGACGTGTGTGTGTGTGTGTGTGTGTGTATGTGTGTGTGTGTAAGAGAGGGAAACAGACTGAGAGGAATACAGTTCTGTTTATCTAAAATATAACCTCTCAAAATACCTTTGGAACATTACAGGTAATGTTTATTTTACCTTGATTCCTATAGTTCCTTAGGCCCAATGTAAAATATTTAAATATTGATACGATACTGTGAATTGGTTTGTTCATCATGACTGTTCTCTTTTAAAGGCAATTTACACATTTGTTGTGAAAGCAGTTGCTAAGGGGAGTCACAATTCCATAGTGTCCCCAATGTGCTCATAGGCTGAGCAAGTGACAGCACCGGTGCACCCATGAAGCCATCGGGCCCTCAGGTGCCCCCGCCTCATTGTCACAAGCCCGGACATGTCAAGACCTGGTTTTAAAAATAACTCCTGCTTGTTAATCAAGCAAACCTGCCCCCAACCACAACGCCAAAAACACACACGGTCCTCCCTTGCTGATAATTATGTCAACCTGCTTGCCACACACCTTCATTTACCTGTCTTTTAATGTTAGCTTGTCAAACAGGTTGGCAGACAGATGCTTTGTTTAGTCAGATTTTGAAAATGTGCGGCAGCAATGTCTCAATGAAGGCTAATATATGACTGCAAGTTGAATTTGAAACGAAAGGAAGCACTTGGCCATGCACAGCGTACTTGGAGATGCAACTTCATTGTTTGCCAATCTTTTAATTGGCTATTGGTCCTATAGCTCCATTGAGGGAAACCCACTAATTTGGAGTGAGAGGCTGTGGGTGGTAATTGCAGACACTGTTGCCGTAGATGTGTCAATTTGAAGTGTCCACCACACCTGAGCTGTATGTATGTGTTATGTCTGCCTTTCTCTGTTAGAAAGTGAGAATACGTGTACAACTTCCTGTTGTAAAAATCCTATTATGTGGTATCAATTCCAGGCAGAATAGGAATGCCTGCATTTTTTTAGGACATGGTTGGTATAATGAGCTCGGCCCTTTATTCCCATTGCCCGTCGCTCCTGGTGAAGGAATTAGCTTGAAGCAAGCAGAGCGGAAATCACTCTCGGCTTTATGAATGACATCCCAGAGGTGGGAACGGATTAGTCTTCTCCCTCTCTCCATCAGTCTGCGTGTCTTTCTCTCTCACTGCCTCACTTCTCTTTACAGCTCCAGGTGGCTTTTTTCTTGGCACAAAGGTGTTTCGCTTAATCCCATTACGCTAGTGCTAAATCTCACCAACATCAAAATTACCCCCATGACCACTATCCTTCGCATCTCTTTGCTTCTCCCTCCCTCAGTTCGCTTTACATACACTCCCTTTCCGAGTGACTGAAGGTGGGTTTACCTGAAAGGAGGGAGAGATTTGCAGGGCAGCTGCTGTTTTAGCAGTCATCTTTACTATTGCTGACTCACAGCGATTGCCAGTCCTGATCCAATTTCACCATGCTGGTGGCCCCTTATTCCCTTGTCCAATAATGTGTCTGCTGGAAAAAATCCCACTGCTCCAAATCAAGTCTAATCCTAGCTGGAGACCTCATGTCAATTTTGTCCTCCAAAAGGGAAAAAAACAAAACAAAACCATACATCTGGTCCTGCCCCAGACCTCTCCTTCTTTCGTTTTCTTTGGTCTCAAGGGATGGCTTTTAAGTCCCCCATCTTCTGCAAAGAATAGAGTAGGGATCACACAACATGACCTACCAGAACCTTGATATCACAATATTGCCACCCTTGGGCATTGGGACATAGGTGCGGATTAAGACTTTGCATAATAAGATTACACGCTGACTGAATGATATCAAGGGACGATCCATATGTGGCAAGCTGGCTCTCTGTCGCCGGCTCATTGGCGGGTGGTACAGCTTTTGGAGAGAGGTGCCTGGGAGAGCCGCTGGGACTCAAATGGGATTCAGATTGTAAATGAGTTGGCCATTTGCAGTCATAGCTATCAGCGACTGGATCTCTCGTATTCCCACATTTAAATGTGAGGGGTTAGATCAGCTGTCCTTTGTGTGATTACCACAATGACCTGCAATGATGCCCGAGTCCCCTGGGATGTTCTATACTGATTGTTATCTTCTGATCGCAGGTGTTTGATGGGGAACACTCACTGGATTGTGTTCCCATTTTCAACAGTTCAAAAATCTAACTTTTGAAGAAATCAAAACTTCAGATTGTTTGAATTGCTTATGTCATTCAAATGCACAGTGGTCTTCATGAATGTATCTAACTATTCACCTTGAATTCCTTCTCGATGACAAATTCAAAGGGGTTGAGACTCTGGTAGAAGTTCCTCATTGTCCACAAATACCTTAGATGCCATAGTTCAACACTGACGGCCCCTGCTGGGAGACCCCACCATCCCAGGAGCTGCTTTTCTCTCTAGAATCTCACCATTCATAGCTCCCCATTCCCGCATCTTCAAAGCAGCATTCCGAGAAAATCCCTCACATAAAAAGATACTTCTCCTCATGAGCTGATGATCCAGGGGTGTCAAGCTGTAGTTCCTGTCCCACTGTGTGCTGTGGGAAATAGACGTGTCTGTCAGCTGGATGGGATCAATAAGCACAAGGCCACAACATCGACCCACTGCTCTCCTAAATGACTCCATGAGTCCTCGTCCGCTGTGCTGGGCAGTCAGGCACTGTGGGGAACTTGGAGAAACTGGAAGTGGTTCAAGCCAGGGGGTCCCAAACAGAGAACATACCTGTTAGTTTTAAACAATACCTTTCACACATGCTGTGTAGCAAGTACAGACTGCACCACTTTGCGAATGAGGTCCTGAGCTTCAAAATGTGTCAAAGTACTGGACCAAAGAGAAGCTGCAGAACAATGTTAACCTGTCATTTGGAATTTTGTGAATTTGTGATTCATTCTGTAATGAAGTACAACAATAGTTCACGGCAGTTCAAATAGTTTATTTAAATAATGCATGCTCCATTAGACTCAATTTCATATCGATCATAGGGATGTACTATATTTTTTATACTCCACATTTTGAATTTAAATATTTGTATATCAGCCACTATTAAATATTTGTGATAGTCATTTCTTATTTCCTGTTTTTCCAGAAGGTCATGATTCGCCATCTTTAAGTAATTGCTTTGTATAGTTTTTATTTTATTTTACATTCTTGAGAGATACAAAACACAGACATTTAGGCACAATGTCTTCCTTAGTCTTCTCACTCCACACTTTTATCCCACAATCCATTACATTACATCATTAGACTACTCAATAATTAAAACAATCTTATTTTTTATTCAATATACTATAATTAACCATAAAAGAAATATTTACCTTCACCTTTAAAAACATTATTTCA